TAGGAGTACCAGCCTGGGCTCCCCACCCGGGTGGCCCTGAAAGGGGGATGTGTGCCTTTGAAAGCACTGATGGGGAGCCCCGGGTGGCATAGCCACCGTCCTCAAATGACGAGTGACGCCATGCTGGGTCACTGGGAGACCTGTCACGTCGCCAGAAAATCCCGGCTGAGGCAAAGACAGGGCCTGCCGGTGAGCAGCAGAGGTGCCTCCAGGGCCTGGAGCCCAGCTGCTGCTCCGGTCTGGGTTTTAGAGCGCAGGGAAACTACGGCAGGCCGACTGCGGGAGCACTGCATGTGGATCAGAAATCCTGAGCTCTGGTGGGCTGCATCGTGCTGTGTGACCATGGCAAAGGCACAGTCCCTCTCTGGCCCTCAATGCCATGTCAGTAAAATAGAAATCGTCACCAGGGAGTCCTATCTCATGGGCTTGATGGTAGGGTAAAGGGTTAACCACCATGATGTAGAAAGCACTCAGGAAACACAGCTCCTCCAGCAAACCATCCGATCTCAGTGTTTGGGTCTAAATAGGAGGGAGTTGGGCTGAACATTTCCAGGGCTTCCGCCCCTGTGGTCCAGGCTGCTTCGTGTGAGCCTCTGTGGATGCTGACCAACCGGCTTTAGAAGTCCAAGTGCCTCTTCCTACCCTCCCTTCCTTTTTTCGCCCTCCCCTCGGTCCCCCATCAGAATGAATTGAAATCCCATCCAACAGAAAGATGCTGATTTAGATGTATTGGAGTTCAGCTTTGGCTGCAAACGGAAGATGCTTTGGATCCCCAGGGACAGAGGAAAGCATTTAAAACTTGGTCCTCACTGCCTCGAACTGACTGCCTTGTAGTGGGGCTGTGTCAGTCCTTGGTGAGACCTCTCCCTCCAGCAGATCTATGAAGCCACTCCTCTGTTGCCAGGGTTGAGACAGGCTGTCACCAGCTAGCCTGGGGGATTGTATTTATAGATCGCAGTCCCTACTACCCCCGGTCCCCAGCCTCTCCCTTTGCACTTGTTGTGAGCTCCAATTATCTGTGAATGGAGGCGAGGGATTCTGGCAGGTCCAGAGGAAGCAGGGAATGTGATAATAGGCCCTTCACCTGGTCAAACTTTCAGTACTTTTCCATTATTTTCATTTATTTCTCTTTATTGTGGCCTGCTTACTTCTTTCTTCTTGCTGGCTTCATTGTCATAATCTTACGTTAGGGTACATTGCAGCAAGTGAACCCAGGCTGGAGTTAGAGACCCTGGTATCTGAATATGGAGGAACTTCATGATCTGAGACAAGTTCTCGCACTCTTCCAGGCCTCGCTGTCTTCATCTGTAATGCAGATGGTTGGTTATGCTCAGGTAGCCTCTAGCTCAGTGCCTGGTGTACAGTGAATGCTCAATTCGTGTAGCCACTGATTGCTTTGGTCAGTTTAGGGTGCTGCCTTCTATTGAGTATTGCGGGGTTTCTGAATATCAATAATTACTACCTAGAGCCCAGGCTGGAGATGGAGAAGGTATAGGAGATTGATCTGATTCAGGTGGATTCCTCATTGTTGGAAGTTGCTTGTTAAGAACAAATACATAAGAAAAACTGGAATGAGTTTGTATTTCTGGTTTTACTCTTCTCAAAATTATTAAAAAGCAATGGAAAGGTCACTGACCTTGGGCATAAGAACTCATAGTAACATTGCTTCCCCTCTGGCCCCCTCGCCCCGCCTCTTGAGAAAAGAAGGACTTGCCTTCAAAGGGCCCCTCCAGCGCCCACGTTCCCTGAATCTGTGAGTTATGACAGTGGAAGGTGTGGCTGCACGTCTCTGTTTCTCTCGCCCCGCCCCCTCATTTCATTCCATTGCCTTCTCCCTCTCCAGGTGCCTCCTGCATTGCCTCGTCTGCTCCTTCAGCTCAGACTCCTACGCTTCCCCCACCAGCTCCAACACCGCGTCTTTTTCTCCTGTCTGATCACCCTCCCCCACACCCCACCTCTCTCCCTTCTCTCTTTCCTCCTTCCCCTTCCCAGAGCCCCCCTCTCGGCCCCCCCCTCCCTGCACTCTGCCTCGTTCTCAGTCCTCTCGCTGTATCATTAATGCCTTCATTGATACAGCCCACAACCTCATGATTATTCTGAGGTCAGGAGATGCAGGTGCCATTCAGCTCGCTAACGCGCCTCAGAGGGCCTCTGTCCCCAGTCCCTCCTGCTCGACAGGGCTGGAATCCTAATGTGCCACTAGCCTCTTTGCTTGTTGCAGCATGACCAGGAACTTTCATCTTTTTAATTCCCCCACCAAGGATTCTGAGGGTTCAGCCACAATGAAGCATTGATTCAAGGAGTGGGGGCTGCGGCCCTGACAAAGGACCCCAATGATGAGACACGAGAAAGGGGGTGCTCTGCGGGGTTATAGAATGCCTTGCAGATGGGAACAGAGGAGCTCTAAATGGGGTACTGTCCTGTCACTTGGAGAGGGAGTGACAGGGGCAAGTGTGGGCCATTTGAAAGAGGCATTTTGAAATTACGCTCTTGTCAGATGGAACCGTGCAATCAGAGACGTGTGACGGGTCCCTGCAGCTCACAGAACTATCAGATGACTCATAGCCAATATTCAGTCAATGTTCTGGTCCGGGAGATGGGATCCGCATAGCTTATTATCATTCCAGCTGCGTTTCCTGAAGGCTGGGCCTGCTGCTGTTCTCCAGGCTGTGATAGGATTGGGCTCACGCAGCGGAGACTGGAGAGGGCTGAGCTGTGTGGGTGGGCAGTATGGGAAACTAATACTGCGGTCCAGAGGGGGGAAGAGAAGTTGGATTTTCTTAATGAAAACGAAGAAGGAAAAACATTCATTTTGTTTGTTCATTCATTCAACAAACACTAATATGGAGTCAGTCTTTCCCTTAGATGCTAAGGGATCCTCCCTCTGTAGCTTTAGATCCTGGAAGGGAAACTGACAAGAAAACGAGGTGTTTCGATACAGTGTTTTGAACGGCGTGAGGGAGGTTTTATTGCCAGGGGCTGGAAGGTTCTGTGGATTTAAAAGGCAGAGCAATTTCAAAGGAGCGCACTAATTATTCCTCCATTTTCTCTCAGCCGATAAGCAACACATTCAAAGCAGAGCATCCTGGGAGGCCGTTTCAACAGTATCCATTTTCAAATGTCCCCTATGACAAAATGGTTTTCCGCAAACTCCAGAGAGATAGTGAAATCCCTGAGTGTCTCAGTACCTTCAAAGGGATAGCTTATTCCCTGGCATAAGAGTACTTATTATTATTACCTTTTCAATAAGTGCTCTATGCCAGGCCCTGGGCTTTAAATACATTATCTCACCCAATCCTCTCACCCACCGCATAAGATGGGCTTTATTATTCTCTCTTTAGATATGGATACTGAGGCTCAAACACATGAAGCGATTTGTCCCTGGTTACAGAACTGAGCTTTGAACTCAGTTCCACTTGGGCCAGCACACATGCTTTTTCAACATTGGGCTCTACCTCCGACCCCATGGTTCCTGGGCGTGGCCATTGTGGCTGGACCTTTGAAATGATCCAACAGGTAATTGTTAACACTTCCCACCACAGGCAGTACAATGCAAATAGGCTCCTGTTTCCAGCTTCCTGAAGCCGGATCACGAACCACCACCACCATCATCACCGTCCACGTCACCACAGTCCATGACGGCCTTAAGAAGGGCTCTTGTGACCCTTGCTTGACACTTAATTATAAACAAAGAAAGCCATAGCTAGGAGCCAAGAAACTTCTCTGCTCACTCACTGCGAGACTTTTAGTCCATCATTTCACCTCTGAGCTTCTATTGCCATGTCTATAAAATGGAGCTGACAGTCGCTTTGCAGGAATAGCAAGAGCTAACTTTTATCGAGCCTTTAGCACTCACCGAGTTAGGGGGTAAGCTTTCACATGAAAATTCATGTAATGCTCACAACAGCCCTGTGTGGTGGGGATGATTAGGAAGGAGAGGAAAACTGCCCGGCATTACCTCAGCCCCCATGTGTGGGAGCCAGGGGTTTAAGCACTCTCTAACTGACCTCAAGTCCCAAGCTGTTTTCAGGGTGTCATTGTGAGGTGCAAGTGAGAAAATGGGGGTGAATGTGCCCCACGCAGGGTCAGAAGTGCGAGACGCATGTAAGGGATTATTCGTAGCATGGAAGACAGCCGAGAGGTGGCTTGCACAGAAGTGAGGAAAGAGGGAGGCCACTCAGCTGACTGCCTTCCACATTTCCACCTACTCTTCGGTTACTTCTGCTCTGCCAGAGTATCTCTTACCTGGAATGTTTCAGTGGCTGAAATCTGGGGACAGGCTTGGCTGTTGCTTATGAAAGTGTTGAGGGGCAGTGGGTGGGGGAGGCCGAGAGATACACCTTGTGATGGAAACCCCACTGAGTTGAGAGTTGGGGGGTCTGGAAAAATGGGGGTAATAACACCTTTCTCACATGTTTTGAAAAGCCCCTATCAGGATCACGGAAGATCATCGGTATGGAAGCAGTACGCCATCTCTAGAGAGAGATAAAATTATAAAATGTAGTTTGTTTGTGCTGAGGTTGCATGTTGCGGAACCTCATGTGGGACTCTGTGAGCGGGGCTGAAACAGCTGGTGCAGGTTCGAGTTACTCTCTGCTGCTGATTTTTCTTTTTAACTTTACAATCTGTTCAAGTTAACAGCCAGGGGTGTCTGAGTTCAGACACTTTCATGTCCTGAATCAACCTTATCTGGGGCTAATTGTATGAAGGAATCGTAGCGTTAGAAGGACCCCAAAGAACATGCACTCCAACCCCTTCACGTTCCGGATGCGGGCACGGAACTTACCAGGGCGAAGTGCAGTGTCGTGTAGCTGGCCTGTGGCGTTAGGAGGACCGACAATGTCGTGCTCATCATTCACAATCAGAATGCTTCCTGGTAAAGCTGTCGTTCCCAATCCTTTCATTCTCTGGGCGGCTCCGTGTGCCTTATCAGGCGGATGACCATCACGCACCGTCTGCCCATGGTGGTTAACATTCTCTGTTTTCCCTCTGTCCCCTAGGACAATTCAGCAGTGGCTGGCAAGGGTCCAGTCGCTTCTCTACTGCAATGAGAACGGGTTTTGGGGAAGCTTCCTGGAGAGCCAGCGGAGCTGCGTGTGCCACGGGAGCACGACGCTTTGCCAGCGCCCCATCCCCTGCATCATAGGCGGGAACAACAGCTGTGCCATGTGCAGCCTGGCCAACATCTCGCTCTGCGGCTCCTGCAACAAGGGCTATAAGCTGTACCGAGGCCGCTGCGAACCCCAGAATGTGGACTCGGAGCGGAGCGAGCAGTTCATCAGCTTCGAGACCGACCTGGACTTCCAGGACCTGGAGCTGAAGTACCTGCTGCAGAAGATGGACTCGCGCCTCTACGTCCACACCACCTTCGTCAGCAACGAAATCCGCCTCGACACCTTCTTCGACCCGCGGTGGCGCAAGCGCATGTCCCTCACTCTCAAAAGCAACAAGAACCGCATGGACTTCATCCACATGGTGATCGGCATGTCTATGCGCATCTGCCAGATGCGAAACAGCAGCCTGGACCCCATGTTCTTTGTCTACGTCAACCCCTTCAGCGGGAGCCACTCGGAGGGCTGGAACATGCCCTTCGGGGAATTTGGCTACCCGCGCTGGGAGAAGATCCGTCTCCAAAACAGCCAGTGCTACAACTGGACTCTCTTGCTGGGCAATCGGTGGAAAACGTTTTTCGAGACGGTCCACATCTACCTACGCAGTCGGACTCGGCTAACCACCGTCCTGCGGAATGAGACCGGCCAGGGCCCCGTGGACCTGTCCGACCCCAACAAGAGGCAGTTCTACATCAAGATCTCGGACGTGCAGGTGTTCGGCTACAGCCTGAGGTTCAACGCTGACCTCCTCCGCAGCGCGGTGCAGCAGGTCAACCAGTCCTACACGCAGGGAGGCCAGTTCTACTCCTCTTCGTCCGTGATGCTCCTCTTGTTGGATATTCGGGACCGAATTAACCGCCTGGCCCCTCCGGTGGCCCCGGGGAAACCGCAGCTGGACTTGTTCTCCTGTATGCTGAAGCACCGCCTGAAGCTGACCAACAGCGAGATCATCAGGGTGAACCACGCCTTGGACCTCTACAACACGGAGATCCTCAAACAGTCGGACCAGATGACGGCCAAGCTCTGCTAACCGGGGACTCCTGGCCACGGACTTCCCCTTTTGTTGGACAAACATAACAGGACAAAAACAGATAAAAATAAATACAAAATTTGTAAAATGTAATTACTATTCCAAGAGGAGGAGGAAGATCTTCGTTCGTTGGAAACTAAAAACGTTCTAGCAACTGTATAAAACCATGGGGCATGTGTGTTATGTCTATCCTATGTCATGAAGAAGGGGCTCAGCGTTTGGAGGAGCTTGGAGGGAGTTGCTTCTTAGGCCTCAGGTTCTGTGTGGAGGGGGAGGAGGGGGAGAGCATATGCAATGAACTGTAAAGGTCTCTGCTGTGCAGGTGCTAAGATGAAACACTAAAAAGAGAGAGAGATATATGTAATGTACAACCGACACTGCCATTTTTCCTTGTGGGAGGAAATGGACATAGATAAAGAAGATATTTCTTCGGTTATGATTGCTCCCCTCTTTATGCTTAATTCTTTGTGGTTCTTTTGACTCGTTTTCCACACAAGGGTGGGGACGCAATGATGGGGCTATCTCTCCCCGCTAGCTTCTTTCATGCTGAATAAACTGAAGCTTCTAGAAGCTGGACAGCAGGTGGGATTGGGGAGAAAGGCATAATCACATGGGGTTAAAAACAATAGCAACCTTAGACATCCATGGTTGAACTCCTCGATTTCATTTGGGAAATAGACTCAGAGAGAATGGCCTGCTCCTGGCTACCCACAGCTACTGCCTGAGCGGGGACCCAAGTTCCCGGGCATCCCCCTACCAAAATCATTTTGCCAAGTTCAGGTTTTCTCCTCCAAGCAAGCTGCCAAGGGATATAGTACATTTCAGCCTCAGGTGGTTTGGATCGTTTTTGTTTTCTTTTAATCAAGAAACTCCTTTCTCCAAAAAGAAATGATGTCAGATTTCCTAGAAATGCTCCATATATTAAATTTTAATTTGAATAAAAATCAATAACCAGAATGAAATAAGGTAGGTTTAAATAGTGCATTGGTCTGCCAAACTGGCCTCCCCAAGGAAGTATGTAAAAAATTATTTCTTGATTAACTCGGAGTGCGCGCGCACACATAAAATAACACTGCCATTTCTTTGGCATCTGTGAAAGCTGAGAAGCCTTGTGTGGGACTTGGGGGTCCAAGTGAAAGGAGAGACTCAAGAAGGAAAATTATTTCAAAGCACACCTGTAGAGGATTTGGGTAGATGCCACTCCGTCGCCAGGAATGCTGTGTTTATCTTTTTGCTGAGGCGGCACTTGCTGGAGGTCCTTCTGAGCATCTGGACCTTCCTTTCTGTACTGGCAGCGAAACAGCACCGCACATTTTAGGGCTGGAAGAGAAGGTAGAACGCCTGTGGTCTAAACACCTGCCCAGTGCAGGCAGCCTCCTTACCGTCTTTGGGAGATGACTGCAGTTGGCTGACCGGGCCATTTCAGGGACAGCAAGCTATTTAGCTCTATCATCCACTTTCTGTGGATTCCTATGTTACTGAAGTGGAGCAATAATGCGCATTCCAGGTGTATTACCAAAAAAATCAATTAGGTAGACCTCCCATACCTTGATCAGCTTTTGCGTACCTTCCACCCACTGGTTCCAGTTCAGGAATGCGCATGTCTCTCTCATAGTAATGCTTTCCGAGATAAAATAGAAAGGCCTACCTCAGAGCTTACCGGAATGTAGGATAATGTGGCTCAAAGAGAGCACCATTCCCAATATGGTTTATTTTAAGATGAAAGAAGGAGAGGGCTGCAGTGCATAAGAGGTAAGGAATTACCTAGTTTCTTTGTGTGTCTAGGGGGTGTTTATTTCATAGTGGTAGTTTCCAACTTTAATGTTCCAGTTTTCCTAGTATGTATGCTTAAAACACTTTTAACATACATATATGTTTAAACCAGTTTTAACACGTAACATGCACTTCACGTTAATACAGTTTTTTGGACCTCAGATTTTGAAAGGATTCACTGTTCAGGTAGGTTGGAAATTCTTCGTTCCAGATAGCAGCTTTTCACCAAGCACAAGATTTTGCAGGTCAGTAAAACACAAAACGTGTTTTCCACACCTAGTACACAAATGGGGCATGTCAGAAAAATAAAGATTTGTAAGGAAATGGTTCATGTTTTTGTTGTCACTCACACACTACTGAAAAAGACAGACATATGACCAATTAAAAAGAATAATTACAGTACACCATGATGAGTGCTCTTATGAGTCAGGTATACAGAGAAGAGCCCTGAAGAAGTGATTAACTGTTCACAGGGTTGGTAAAGGCCTTTATTCCATGGGCAAGTTCATTCTGAGTGTTGAAAGTGGATAGGACGTGGGCAAATAGTAAGGAAGTATTTGTCCTTACTATTTGAGGGCCAAGGAACAGAGAATGCAAAAGCACAAAGGTATAAATATGCATGGTGTACTTCAGGGTCAGTTAAAATAATAGCTATAGAAAGGTATCATTTGAAAGGGTAAGCCTACCAAGGACAGTGAGGATTTTGACTCTTTATCAGAAGTTGAAAGAATCATCCATAATCTTCATGAGCTGAAGAATGAATTTAAAACTGACCATCCCTCAGTTGCTTCGCTTCCTTCCCCACTTTCATCTCTACCTTCCAAAGACTCAAAATCTAATAACCCCTCTATTTGCACAGCACTTTATGGGTTACTAGGCAATCTTCACGTGCACTGTGCTACCTAATCTTTATTAAAGTTCAGTTGAGGCCTTCAACCTGCGTTCTTCCCCTAGACTTCACCAACTCGTGTGTGTGTGTGTGTGTGTGTGTGTGTGTGTGAGAGAGAGAGAGAGAGAGAGAGAGAAAGGCCTCCTCTCTTCACCTTGAAGATACTAACCCCACTTCCTATTACAAAGAGAACACATTGGAAAGGTCAGGGAAATAGAGACATTTTCCAGGAGAGAGATAGATTCAGACATCAAAATATTTATTCAAAGGTGAAATGAAAATACTTTGCTATAAAAGGATACAAAGTTCTGTGGATTTCTGAATGTCTCTTGTTTTATTCTGGTCCTTTCAGCTAACCAAGTCCACCCGCCGCCCCCCCCGCCCCCCCCACCAGCTGGGAGGAAGAAATGCCTGAAGCCTTCAAGTGAGATTTTAATTCAATTAGTGTCTTACCAATTTGATGCAGCAACCAAGGACCTGTGGTGTCTGATTAATATGCTGATGCTAAGGCAAAAGACTGAACAGAATGCCCATTTGGATAAGGCCTGGCAGCAAAGCGTGGCATTGCCATGGAAACCATAGAAGGCCATTAATTAGCTATCAAACAAAATCATTGGAAAATTCTGGACCCTGGCATATCTGCTCCCTTCAAAGAGGAGGCCAGGGAGAGGTCACACTAGCAGCAAGGCTCCCTTCAGTGATTAACATCATAGTAGCACAGAGACTTCATGTCACCAAGTGCGAGAAAAATTGGGAAGTAAAGCAAACAGGCACAATAGAAGGAAAGAGGCTTTGGGTTATCCAAGTCCAAGAATATAATTGTAAATATGGAGTCTCTTGTTAGGTTGTCTATGCTGACAAAATTATCTCAATGACATTTCCTCCGGTTCTCTCTTCCATGGAAAGAAAGAAGAATATGGATCCACTAGATGGTGATAAGTGATTGGGGGAAGAGATCATAGAAAAAGTGAGATGTGATTAATCTCTAAAATAATAGGTAAAGCTTGTAAAACTTTCAAATTAATAGGGGAAAGGTTTACAAATGAAAAGAAAGAAGAAAAGGAGGAAAACTTTGTAAAATAGTTGGACACAGACATAGTAACAACTTAAACCACACAGATAATCACAACAAATGTAATTGGAAAAAACTGGTCATTAAAAAGACAGAGGTAGTCATTATAAATTTTAAAAACAAAGGGAAAGAAAGGTTGAAAGTAAAGGGATGGATAAGGACACACTAGATAAATATAAGCAAAAAGGAAGTTGAGGTAGCACTGTTAACATCAGTCAAAATAGACTTTAAGCAAAATACATTATTAGGTTTGAAGATGGTCAATGTATCAAGGAAAGTGGAGAAGGGAGTGTACACATACAGCCAAGACTGGGAGGGCTAGAAAAGTCATTAAATATCTATAAATCTTCAATCTTCAGAGATGAGGAGTTACGCCTGAAGTTATTCTACAAGTCTGAATACTGAGCATGAATTTAGTTCCCTTCACACTATCGCAAGCTTATTTTGGCATAGATCATGTATCAAGTTAATGCAGTTCATATGTAGATTCCTGTCCTCAGGAAAGGCAACTTTTAACATATGGATAAATATCTTGATGGTCATTATTTTCACTTCAATAAAATCCAACATACATGAAATCCAAAACATATTAAGCAGATCTATTCTGTGTAAGTACTAATAAAAAGAAAGATGTTTCTAAGCTGGAAAGTAATGTGCTTGGATAAAGGAAGGGCAGAAATGCATTGGTAAGGATTGCATCACTGGCAGTCACAGAGCCTAGCCCATGCACCTGGTACAGTGGTGCATGAAGTTTGAAGGACAGAGAGCTGTCTTAGTCAATTCATGTACCAAAACAAAAATGCCACAGACAACAAACATTTATTTCTCACCTTTCTGAAGGCTGGCAGGTCGAAGATCAAGGTGGCGGCAGATTTGGCGTCTGGGGAGACTCCCTTTCCTCATTCACAGAGGGCCATCTTTCCACTGTGTCCTCCTGTTGCAGAAGGGGTGAGAGAACACTCTTGGGTCTTTTCTATTAGGGCACAAATCTCATTCATTAGGACTCTACCCTCATGACCTACTCATGTTTCTGCCTCTTCTAATGCCATCATTGCCTTGGAGGCTAGGATATCAACACATTTGGGGGAACACAAACATTCTGCCTACAGCAGTGTCAACTTAGTAAAATAAAAGCCTCCGTGAAGGAGCTTGGAATAAACAAGTGAGCTTCCTCAGTCACAAGATGAGTTGCTCCCTGAGGTGAGTAGCTGACCTCTACTCCCAGACTTTCTTTCTTGGTAGGTCACCACCCAAACTGTATTGGCTCCCTGTAAAGGGGACTGTTTCCCTAAGAATGAACAAGGAGCCTCTTTGCAGTCAAGGTTTCACAGTCTCCATAAACTTCTAAATGGAGTCATTTATCCCAAGAAGAAAATGGTTTTGATAAACTTTTTTTTCCAAAACCTTCAGAGCTGAAGATAAGGAGGAAGGTCTAACTACATTTTCATATCGATGTCAGCAGGATGCCGGCACTCTCCCCGCTGAGTGGTCTCTGCAAGCCCTACCCGGGGACCGAGCATTGGTCTGACTATGCCATGGGCTTGCAGGAGCGAGGAAGCTGTGATACTCTTATGAATTAGAGGGTGATTATAAACACTGCCAAGGAATTGTTAATGATAGGGTATTAATTGTATGACACTATATTATACATTAATAATTACACCACCTAATATCTTGTTAGTGTGCAAAAAGATGCTGAGCTTAATGACCTAGATCCAGGAGCTGGGTTTTTCTGAATTACTAGCACCTGCAGAAACAGGATTAGAACTCACATTTACCAGTTCCCAGTTTAGTGATTTAACCAATACATTCAACACGACTCCTGACATTAAGAATACTGGCAGCATAGTGCTCGGGCAGAGAGCACAGCCCTGGAGCTCATTTACCCTCTACCTGTGCAATGACTGAGACAGTTAACCTCTCTGGGCATCAAGTTCTTCTTTTGTAAAAATGAGCTTCTTCGTAGGTCCTGTCTAAAGTGGTTGTTATGAGAATTAAGTCTATTTAAAGAGCCTAGAACAGTGATGGGTATACTGAAAGTTTATCTGTTAAATAAATTACATAAATAAAAATACACTTTAGATAATATGTAAATTAATAATCTTAATAACAATAGCTAAAAAGCAATTGACCTCATTTTACAGGCCCAACAATATGTGCAGAACTTGATTTAACTTCATGGCAACCCACTGGAGTGGGCCTAATTACCGCCTCAGTTTTACACAGGAAGAAACGGAAATAATTTGTGGCCACATAGCTAATGATGAAATTTCAATTTGTAAGTCTCCAAAATCAGGTCTCCTAACTATGCCACACATTTTCTCTAATTAGAGCAAATAAGTGGTCTAAAAACATTATCTATAAGAATATTGCAAACTTGAAAAGTCACCTGGCACCACTCTTAACATCTAACCATTAAATTACTCTATGAGCCAGAATCGAGGGCATCCAGATAGTGTTCAGTTAATCACAGAGCTTCAGCAGGAATCTGGGAGGGATGGGTGCTCTAAGACAGATTTAACTCTGAAGATGGAGGGATCAGGCCCAGAGCCCAGATACACTTAGTACATGTATGAAACACCTTCTCAAACACTCAGGGGAACCCACTGGCTCCAGGTAGGGCCACAGGCTCTTCAGACAAAGTGTTACTGACTCTTCTCTGGCAGAGAAATGGGCAGGTGGGGAAAGGGAGATGAAAACCCCAGTCTGTTCCCGACAGCTGTCTCACAAAGAGGAAGCCTTTGATCTCCAGCCCAATCCATTCCCACATTTCAACACCATGGCTGGAGCTCCAAGGCTCCTGAAAGCCCATCCCAGGCCCATTACAATGCGGACTCACAGTGCCCGAGGGGATCTTTGGAATGAATGGGCGGAGGGAGAGTGACTTCAATAAATGGTGGGTGGGGCACTGTGAAGACATCTTCATGGTTCCCTGTTTGGTTTCCTGCTATTATGGACTTTCTCAAACTATTTGTCTCACCCTTACCCCAGAAGTCCCACAATTCTCAAGTCCAGAATTCTCATCCATAAGATGCAAAGCTATTTTCTTTCTCTTACAGTAGCTTGGGGACTTCACTGACAGAAGGGCAGAATGAATAAAGTATGTAATTAAAGGATATTAAATGTTGACAAAAATAATCACTTCTTTCTGTATTTTTCAAGCGATGTCTATGGAAAGGGGACTATAGATGCCAGTCTCTCCTTCTAACCCTGTAAGGCCACCCAGGTCTTAGGAAGTGGGACTCAGTGTACATTTACTGAAGAGGAAAAACTATGTAGTGTATACTGTGCCCCTATTAGCCCCAGGTACTTAACATGTATCTAACTCAATCCTCATAAATCCCCAAGAAAAAGCTATTGTTTACATCAAACCAGGGCACCAGAAAGGTCAGGCGACTTCAGATCAGCCTCACAATGTATTATTTATCCAGCACGAAACAAAGCGGTAAGGTGAAGCGGTTAGCAGCGTGAGGTCCAGGGCCCGTAGAGGCGGTTCTCGGCTCCCTTTATGAACTCCATGACCTTGGAAAGCTACTTAACCTCTGTGTACCTCAGATTCACCACCTGTCACAGGGGGACAATAATAACTGCCACTTCCTTGGGTTGCCATGAGGTAGTTTCTTCGGCCATATTTTCACCCTTTTCCTCTGTTAGTGCAGGTAAGGCCTGCCTAGCACCCCCTGCTACACAGTAAGCAGTCCATGAAAGTTGGCTTTCATTCTTCCTGTGGGCCAGGCCTGGCTCAAGACCGGTGCTTGGCCTCCCCTGTTGCACGTATGGCTCCTCTGGAATCATCAACAGCGCAGGAACTGAGTGGAAGAGTTAAAGCAAATCTCCACCTTCCAAAAGTTCACAAGCAACTAATGACAACACGTGCATTTAAAACCCGAAATAGGGGTAGCATACAATCTACAAAAATATTGTTGTTAAATGATAAAAATAGAATCA